ACACTGGAGCACTAGGGGTGGAGAGATCATGAAGCTCAGGGTCCTCAGTTGGGAGGATCTTCCCCTTTAGAACCACATTTCATACTCTGCAGTCTGCTGGCATCTTGAGTTTTATACAGCCAGACCATGCATATCCCAACCCATCAGCATCTGGAGGTTCGTTGCCTGGTTCTGTGGAACTGGGCAGGGAAATGGCCATGCTGTGCCTCAGTTTCCTGATTTGTAAACCAGGCTGATGCTGGTGTCCCTTCCCAGGATTGTTAGATGACTGAATGGGATGATGGGCATAAACTATGCAGAAGAGCTTGGCACGTATTAGGCACTCTGAACAGATGTATTTTATCTCATTGGATTATCTGTATTTTTTCTCTTTTTTACATTTATTATCATTGTATGTGCGTGTGCATGTGTGTGTGCGTGTACGTGTACGTGAATAGGCCTACATGCTGAGGTCAGAGGACACCCTTCAGGAGGCAGTTCTTGCCGTCCACACTTGTTTCACGGCAGGGTCTCTTGTTTTTTGCTGCTACGCCCGCATGCTCCAGGTGAGCAGTTTGTGAGCGGCTGGTCACTTCTCCTCCCCTGCTTCCTATCTTGTCAGAGGAGCACTGAGATAGATACGCAACATTGTGTTCAGTTTCTTAATATAAGTTCCAGGAGTCTGCACTCAGATCGTATGGCTTGTGCCACAAGTGCTTTTTACCTACTGAGCCATCTCTCCGGCCTCAGAACAGCACTTACTGGAAGATTGATGTAAGCACAGTGAAGGAATTTGATTTTTTTTTTCAAAGGTTGAAATTCAACCCAAGGTCTGCTAAGTATATAAACAGTGAGTTACAGCCCCAGCCCAGATGCTGATTTCTTTCTGGATTTCATATGGCTATTTCATTAAGGCATAAGATACAGGATTATGTTTTAGCTTTACCAATTTTAATGACATTCCATGTTGGGGTTCTGAGATCATGCTCTAGTTGCCTTGGAATTGAATGTCCCTATACACTCCCAAATGTATCTGTTTGGATTGTCTTTTCAGATTTATGCGTCTTAGAGTAACTTTACTTCAAGTTATCTGCACCTCATGGCTTAGCTGTCCAAGCTGGGACACAGTGTCTTATTGGTTTACAGTTGCAGGCATGTCAAGTGTTTCCTCCTCAGCTGGTTCCAGAGTTAGGAAAGACATCATGGTAATTGAACTGTATCAAAAGCATGGGTCCTTAGTTGTTTTCTTTTATAATATCTACTTAGATGTATTTCCATATTTTACATGGCTACATGCATGCATATCAGCTCTCTCATTCCCTTACCTGAATAGCTAAAGTCAAAGCATCCTCCCCACAGAGTATAAGAGCTGTACTTGCTTGATACAGAAACAGGTGACTTGCCTACTTTCTGTTACTGTTATAAAGGAGAGTTTCACCTTATATAGCTATAAAAACCAGATATATAAGGAACTTTTTTTCTTGAAAGAAATTTTTAAAGAAATGAACATTATGAATATTTTTAAAAATTATTTTTATGTGTATGAGTGTTATGCCTGCATGTATGTAAGTGCGCCTGTGTCATCCAGTGCCTGCGGAGGCCAGAAGAGGGCATTGGAGCCCCTGGAACTGGAGTTATGGACGGTTGGTAGCTGTCTAGTGGGTGCTGGATTTGAACCTGGGTCCTCTGCAAGAGCAGCCAGTCTGAACAAATGTTTGCTATGCTTGATGTTCAGAAGAAATGGCTGCTTCATTTTTGCTTTCTGTGTCTCTCCAGTTAATGCTCTGTATAGTTCTGTACCACCGTTCTTCTTTGGCAGTGTTTCAAGAGTATATGAACCAGTGTATTACATTTTTATATTTATTAAAACTTAGCGTTTCATGGTCACCTATTTTAAGCTTTCTTAAGGTGCTTTTCCAAGCAGCGTTCATATTTGGAAGGATGAAACTTAAAAAAAAAATCTGTGCTAGGTACATTCTGCCCTTTATTAATGTGAACAAAGCTTACTAAAGAGAAAGAACATAAGGGGAATGTTTAGAACAGGAACATCCTGAGAATTTGCATTAAAGCCTCCACTGGGTCATCTGGTCATATGTAAGGTGGCATTAACATCCTGTGACTGGGCTAGGCATGGGGTTAGATTATGCTTTTGGTTTGACCTGCTATTTCATTTTATTAAAAAAATTTTAAAAAAATGTGTGAGTATATTGCCTGCATGTATGTGAGTGCACCTGTGTTGTGCAATGTCATGGAGGTTAGAAGAGGGCTTTGGATTCTCCTGGAACTGGAGTTAAGGATGGTTCGTAGCCTCCATGTGTGTGCTTGGATTTGAACCTGGGTCCTCTGCAAGAGCAGTCAGTGCTCTTAACCGCTGAGCCATCCCTCCAGCCCCTAGACCATTTTAAACCCAAATTCACTACCTGCTTGAAACAGTGCTTAATAAATTATTAAATCAAGCAAATCCGAGGGCCTGGAGAGATGCTTTCCAGAAATTCTCTGTGGTATCGTGAAAGTTCTCAGAAAGCACAGTGTTACCTTCCTTATAGAAGTTGACAGTGGAAATGGAAAAATGTTTTCGTTTGATAATGTATTTCACACTTAGACAAGAAAAGTATTTGGGTGCTGTGACATGCTTAGTACTGATGAAGCAAAACTGCATGGCAGAGGGGGACACTTTTCCTTAGATGTGTTCTGCAAGCTCCTGAACTTGAAATTTTTTTTTTTTTTTTTTTTTTGTTTTTTTTGGAT